GGAGCCTTAGCTGCTGCCAAGTGGACGCTGCATGCCTGCTTCCCCCCATGATTCCCCTATCCCCCTCCCCTCACTCCCACCGTTCGCCCCCCCCCCCTCCAGCCCCACCGCGGGCACTCTGTTGCACAGAAAACAGGAAGGCTCCCAGCACACAGAAGGGGAACACGACTGCCCCTAGGACCCAGGAGGCTGCATTCAGCTGCATTGCAGCCTCCTTCAGCTGGGCGGCTCTGCGCTTGCAGAAATGAGGTTGGGGGGGCAGCATCATGTAACCCTGTGTGCCCCCCATGCCTCGCCTCTGGGGGAGACAATGGCTCCCCAAAAACTTCACCCATAGTCATCTTCCCCCCCTCCCCACCACCACCCCTTGCACGGCTTCCCTGTTTTCTGCAGGGAAGCCTGGGAATTCTGCAGGGTGGGGGTGTTTTCTATGGGTGTGCGGTCATGCAGAATCCCCCAGGAGTAATGTTAGAGAGACACGGTGGGTGAGGTTGTCTTTTATTGGACCAGCTTCTGTTGTCCTGTTGTCCAGCCTGAGGTTCAGCTCTGCGTGGCTCGAAAGCTCGTCTCTCACCAACAGAAGTTGGTCCAATAAGATCTCCCCTCCCCTGCTCTGGCTCTCTGGGTGTTACATGGTCCTATCGCTGTCATCCTGCCTGAGCGCCCCTGGGGAGGCAGCGTGGCGGTGATGAAGTGGAAGGGGGCTGTTGGGGTTTTTGGCTGACCCTTTCCCAATACAAAAAGAAAGGGGAAGGGATGAAGAAAAATCAGGATCCTGAGACTGGCAGTCCTCAGGGCCAATGGGGAGAGGCCAACACTCCAGGTCAGCCCGATAGGCAGGCCAGTGAGGGAGCCCAGGGCCCACCTGCCGTGTGAGCTGGTGCTGCCTGACGCAGAGTAGGGTAGGGCAGAGTTAAGTCACTAAGTCCGGTATTTTTGTCAAGTGTCCATCGTGCAACATGGTGGTGCTGACCCCTGCCTGGGCCGTGTGAGGAACAGGCTGTGAACTTCCCTTATGTCCCAGAGACACTGGTTGTGGTGGTCCCTATGCCCATAGGGCGGGGCCCCTGTTCCTTTGACCTTTTTCCCCTATCTTTCTTATAGTTGCTGTTTAATAAATTGGAATTGGTTTGAACTTAATGTAGTGATCAGTGGGTCAGGGAAGTGGCCGGTGTGGAGAGTGTGCCCTGGAGTGGGGACACCCAAGCCCCTGTCCTAGATTGGGGGTCGAGCCCTCCAGGAGTCGTGGGCCCAGCCTTGTCAGGGTTACGAGGACTCTGATGCATGGGAGGGAGGAAGAGGAGCCCTGGAGGTCAGGCAGGCCTCTGGGTAAAGAGAGTGGGAGCGAAGACTCGGATCCTTTCACTAGCCAATGCCACCGGGGTAGTGCAGAAGCCAGGGAAGTGCCCCCACAGTAGCGGGACCATTTCCCCACTTAGTTCAGGAAGCAGGCGGTGCTGGGCTGTCTCTTGTCTCCCAGTTGTGCTTATGGGAAGGGGTTGCTGGCTGTGTATCTGGGACACTGCTTGCGTTGCTGTTGCAGGCTTGCTGCAGGACAGAGTGCCATTGACTTCCCCCCCTTCCCCAGAGGGGGTTGTTGTTGTGTGTTTGTTTTTTTTTTTTTTTTTTTTTTTGAGGGAGGAACTTGTCCCAGTGGAATATTGCTGAGGGCTGAGCTGGCAGGCTGGAGGTGCTCAGATACCAGGGTGATGGGCCTGGGCAAGCCAGCTCTTCTGTAGCGTGGGGGCAGGTCCATCAGCCCCTCCCAATGTGCTGTGCTCACCTGCCTGCCCTGAAGGCAAAGCTACTCGTATACTCTGTGGAGGTCACAGGCTGGGGGGGGACTGGTCCTGCCTGGGTCCGTGTCGTCCAGCTAACTGTCCTCCCCCTCCAGAAATTATTTGTGGCGAGTGAGACGCCCTGCAAGCAACTCTGATGAAGCAACCTGGGGCCCACGTCTGTACCTGATGGGCATCTGGCTGCCCTGGAGATGTAAACCACTCCCAAAGGGAAGCAGTGGGAGCCTCCTCTCTGGAGACCCTTCCTATAAGCATGGGTGTCATGTAGGGGGAAGCCCTGCCCAGCCTGGAGGTGGGAAAGGGACTAGCAATGACTTGCCCGGACTCTTCCCTTGCCAGCTGCTGCCAGCTCCTCCTAGCAGGCAGAAAATGCTCTTGGACTCTCTGGATGAAGGCCTTGGGGCCACCAAGCAGCAGCAGAGGACCATGGTGACGGTATCTCCTCCCAGTGCATGGATGGTGCCTCCTCCCAGTGGGAGGCTGGTCCCCACGGACTGTGAGCCCCGGAGAAGGGGTGGGAGCATTGGGAAGCAGCAGCGCTCCCAGATTCCCATCGCTGCCTTGTCTCTTTTCAGCTGTTGAGCCGGCACCGGGCATGGGCGCTGGCATGTGGGGAGCAGGAATACTGGACCGTGGAGGGGGACTGTGCCCCCTGTGCGGAGTGTCCCCCCGGAGAGGAGCCGGATAGGGTAAGCCATTCGACCTGCTATTTAGCAAGGGGCTGCAGGGCAGCAGCTTGAGCAGCGGTATTGCCCGGGGGTGGGATGGGGGTGTCTGTCCTGCCCAGCCCTTGATGCAATCAGGAAGCGCATGGCTCCGCAGATTGCCCTGGGAGGGTGGGGTGGAGATTAAAGCCCTTTCACTGATTCAGACCCAGCCCAGTACAAACCAGGGGTTGGCGATGGGCGGCCTCTATGTGGTGGGCTGCTGGAGCACTTCAGTCCCAGTTGGCGCTGGTTGGCAGCCTGAGCAGAGAGGCTGTGGGTGGAGCGGGCCATGGGGACTGATCTCTCCCTGCAGCTCAGAGAGGAGGCCCGTTGGCGCAGAGAGGAGCTTGCTGCGCCATGGGGCGGCCAACAGTGCCAGCTCCTCTCCTGACTCCCTCTCCGTTCGCTCTCCTGTAGAAGTGCGGCTCTGGGCAAGGCCTAGGCGTGACCTGTCGAGCCTGCTCTCCGGGCACCTTCTCGGCCAGCCACAGCACAGCGCCCTGCTTGCCTCAGACCGCCTGTGAGGCCAGGAAGAGGGTCCACGCCAGCCCTGGGACAGCCGCAGCAGACAGCCGGTGTGGAGGCTGCATGCCAGGGTAACTTTGCTTTGTGGCTTTTCCTCATGCGGGCAGTGCAGTGGGGATGGGAGTCGGGCCCATGCACAGAGCTGGGTGGCATCTGCAAATTGAGGGTCCCAATTCTTGCCAGCCTCCCGGGGGGTAACCGTGCGTGTAAGGACTTCAAAACGCTACAGTGGACAGGGCCCAAATCCAGCAGCTTTTGTGGATCTGGCTGTGAGTTGTTGGGCATAAGGGGTGGTTAGTGAGGGCCCGTCTGCAGGGTGTTACTAGATCGAAGACCAGCTCGCAGGCCTGGCGTAGCCCTGTCGAGTGGGAACGCTTCTGGCTGCCCGGCAACCTCAGTGCACCGTGGAGAGCAAATATCCAAGCTGCTGAGCAGGAAGGTGGTTGCCTGTGAGTGTTCGCGTGAGTCACTCGAAGGCACTTGGCTCAACTCCTCCAAGCCGGTATCCTTCAGGCAAGAGGGAGGAGAGAAACTCACTAGTTTAGTCCTCTCTTGCTCTGGGCTACTGACTAGCTCCAGAGCGGGTGAGTCTGGCCAATGCAAATCCAGTGAGTCAGATTTGGTGAAGGGGTGATGAGCATACACCTTCCTTTCCCTGCTGGGGGAAACTGTCTTGCACTTTGCTCTGAAAATGCTCTCCAAGCACTGTATAAACTAGCTAGAGATGGCTTTGCCCCACCACTAAATGCAGCCACTTCTGGGGTGGAACGTGGCAGATGCTTAGCAGTGCAGAGTAGGAAAGACAGCGAATAGCTTATGGCGTGCAGGGAATGTAACCTGCTTCCACTGTAGTCAGGCTTTGTCTGAACTGGAATTTGTAGCAGCTGCCCCCGTCCCCAGAGAACGCCGGTGTGCTGTTTAACTGCCAGCCGTGGCCTCATCTGTGTTCGGTCCTTTGCTAACCTCTTTTGCTCTTGGCAGGTTTTACAGCCCTGAAGGAGAGACGGACTCAACAGCCGAATGCCTGCCATGCTCTTCTGCTCCCAAAGGCGTGCCGGGCTGCCCAGGTTAGTGTAAACAGTAAGAGGGGAACGGACACCACAGCCATCCCGCTCGGCGTTACCATGGGTCAGGGCCAAAAGGGAGGACGATCTCCTTTTGGGAGCCTCTGCTGCCCACTGAGACTCTCCATGCAGTTCAGGGAGACGGAATTCGAATCACTACACGCATGGCCAGTCCTCTGCCCTGCTGGACCTGTGATCACCCAGGGCAGCCCTGCCGCTGCACAATCGCAGACCCAGCAGCTTAAGTTCCCTCTAAGCTGCGCGGCCATCAAGGGGCCTGGAGAGGAGAGAGGTAGGGGGTGGGTGGGGAGCAAGTTGGGGCGTGCCAGGCTGTGGCGGGGAGAGGCACCGCAGCCCCGGCCCCACCCTAGCACCCCAAACCCCTCACCCCAGAGCCTGCACCCCCAGATGGAGCCCTCACCCCCTGCACCCCAACCCTCTGCCCCAGCCCTGAGTCCCCTCCCACACTCCAAACCCCTCGCCCCACTACACGTCACCTCCATATTGGTGCATATAACAAAATTCATTCCGCCCATGGATCTAAAAAATTAGAGGGAATGTTGGCCAGCAGGCGCAGCTGGAGATGGTGGGAGTCAGAGAAGGGAGCACCCATCCGGACAGGGGACCAGTACTATCTGGACTGTAATAGCTTTCTCTGCCTGTCTAGCAGAGACCAGGTGTGCTGCCGGGAAAGGAGAATGCCCATGATCTCCCAGAGAAGGGGGGAGCCTCCTTTAGGGGCAGATGACCATGTGTCCTGCCCTCTCAGGCAGAAGGGACAGTTCTTGGGTGGGGAGAAGAGCTGCACAGGCAGACTAAGGAGCTATTTCACCCACCCCTGCTCTGGAAAACCAGGAAAGTGACCGCACACTATCAGTGAAAAGAGAAGCACTGAGGAGTTTTAAAGAGCAGGACAAAAGAGCATCTGAAACCTAAACCACCACTGAGGTGGGATCCCCCCAAGAGCCAGAGCAGTGCAAGTGCAGATCTCCACCAATCCCAGATGTGGTCTGCTGGCCCTGGCCAGCAGCTTGTCTGTTGGCAACTCGGGTAGAAAAAGCCCAACCTCTTGGCTCTGAGAATTGCCTGGCAGCTGGGGATGGCAGGGACTCCAGCATGCTCTCGGTCGCTCAGTTTGACTTGCACATTCTTCGAGCTATTTCAGTCCCACGGCGATTTATGCCTCCCCAGTAATGTATTTATAAAGCACTCTTTGTGCCAACGCTTCATTAAAGCACTTTGGCGGGTGCAATGCATAATTCGCTAAAGGAGAAACTGCCTCAAATCCAATTGTTCTTCTGCAGACCTCTTGTTCCAGGTTGCCCTGATTGACATGTGAAGGGGCGGGATTGGAGTCCCGCTTTAAGTGCAGATCTTCACCTGCAGAGTTGCTGCCAACGCCTCTGGAGTTGGAGAAAGAGCTCTCCATGTGAGCTCCTTCGGCTAGGCATTGTCTCGTGTTCAGTTTGCACAGGGCCTAGCCCAGCAAAGCCCTGGCCTCTAGGCGCTGTTGTAATACAAACAACGTGTTAAAGCAGCCACTTCTAGGGCGCAGCACCTCAGCTATTGTCACAGTGCGCAGCAACACCATTGCTGGGGTCCGGGGACAGGAAAGGGGAGAAAACTATGACTGACAGGACCTGCAAGGGGAATTTATGTAGATGGGGATTTAGTTAGTGGGGCTGGTAACTATAATGGTAAAAACTCATAACTGCAGAGACACGTCTGGTCATGTGGATTGCCTGTTTGTACCACCCAAGTCTACACGATGTGCACAGTCAGGGCCAGGTGTGCATGCACCACATATCTGCCCAGTTGCATCCCAGGTGTGTCCGTGACACCCACGTACACCAGGGCCACACATTCCAGGTGTTCGGTGGTGAGCTAGCTAGCTAGACATCTCCACATCCTCCTGCAAGGGCTATCACTGCAGTGCAAGCCCCTCTCTCGGGGGCAGACCCTCCCCACCCGCGATGAGACTGCCAGAGTTCAGGTCTGGGGGCATGCGGGGTTCATTGCAGGGGGTCACGTGGGGCTGGCTGGAAGGAAACGAACCCCGTCTGTAAAGTGTGATTCACGTGCGGACTCACCTGGGGCCAGGCTAGCCTGACACTCCCGGCTGCAGGGCGACAGCTCTCCAGCACCAGGGGCTGGGCATGGAGTGCCAACTGCGTCACAGGCCCCTCACAGAACGGCCCCTCAGTTACCCCAGACTGGGTTGTGTTTTTCCCAGTTTTCAAGGAAAAGCTGAAACCAACTCCCCAGAAACCTGACAATGTTTCCAGAAATCTCAGCCTAAACCCAGGAAATGTGAACCAAAAAACGAACATTTCACTGACAATCAGGCAGTGACACCTACGATAACTGCCTGGCACAGGAGTGTTCCCTCCCTCCTAATAAACGTACCTAGCTCCTTTGCAAAGGAGGCAAGTAGCATTATCCCTATTTTACAGATGGGGACACTGAGGCACAAGGTCATCCAGCAGAGCCAGGACTAGAACCCAGGTCTCTGGCGGCCAGTCTAGTGCTTGAGCTACTAGGCCACCTTCACTACAGGCTCTCTTCTAACCCTCGTCCCTCCAGGCGCGAAGCAGTGGCTGACCCGGCTGGCGAGGAACGTCGAGGCCCTGCACAGACGGGACGAGAGGGCGGCATCCAATGGCACGCGGGACGGGAAGCGGGAGGAACACACCACGCAGTACGCCGTGCTGGCCATCGTGCCGGTCTTCTGTGTCATGGGGCTGCTGGGCATCCTCTTCTGCAACCTCCTGAAGAAGAAGGGCTACCACTGCACGGCCCACAAAGAGAGCGACGAGGACGTGGCGAAGGCGGAGAGAGGCGGTAAGGGCCACGGGGTGGGCTCTGCACGCTCTCCCCGCAATCCCTGCTTAAGCGCTCGTGCCTAGCACCGACTGGGGCAGCAGGGGGCGTTCCGGAGGTAGGAGGGTGCTATGTTGCCTTGCTGCACTGTAGCTCCAGATGCCAGACCTCGACTGCCTCTCTAGCGCCCCACCGTGGCTGATCTGAGTGTGGCACCCATCTCTGTGCCCGCCCTTTGGGTGGCACGACAGGCACACTGGAAATACCTGAGATGATGTGGAAGAACTAGACCAGCCCCAGCTATGCCCCAGCCTGGCAGAGGGGAGAGATTGGCCTCCGAGTCCCCCAGCCCATGGGCACTGTGGGGGGCAGAGTGGGCACTGTGGATGTGTGCTGGGAAGCCTGGCAGCCTGGGTGCATTGACCGTACCAGTAAGTTTGCTCTAGTCCAGGGGTAGGCAACCTATGGCACGTGTGCTAAAGGCGGCACGCGAGCTGATTTTCAGTGGCACTCTCATTGCCTGGGTCCTGGCCACCGGTCCGGGGGGCTCTGCATTTTAATTTAATTTTAAATGAAGCTTCTTAAACATTTTAAAAACCGTATTTACTTTACATACAACAATAGTTTAGTTGTATATTATAGACTTGTAGAAAGAGACCTTCTAAAAACGTTAATGTATTACTGGCACGCGAAACCTTAAATTCGAGTGAATAAATGAAGACTCGGCACACCGCTTCTGAACGGTTGCTGACCCCTGCTCTAGCCTCTAGGCAGGCTGCAAGCAGCTACCCAGGAGCTCCTGCCCACCGGGGTGCAGGGATCTACTGGGGGTAAGGGGAGGAGTGAGTTGTAGAGTTTCTTTTAAAGATGATGTGTGATAAACATCTTAGTCACCAGCTCCCGCCTCTGGGAGGGGCTCCGGGTTTGTTTCTTTGTCTGCTTTTGGCTCTTCATGCTCTAAACAAACTCCCTCTCCTGTGGCTAAAGGCAGGGCCGGCTCTAGGTTTTTTGCTGCCCCAAGCAAAAAATTTGCTGCCCCAAGCTCAGAGAGCGCAACTGCCCAAGCAAAAAAGATGGCCGGAATGCTGCCCCTGGAACTGTGCCACCCCAAACACGTGCTTGCTTTGCTGGTGCCTAGAGCCAGCCCTGGCTAGAGGGGAAAGGAGGTCACCCCGTCAGTCCCACCCTGCCCATAGCAGGACTGATCAGTTCACCCCTCCTGTTGAGATGTGCCCTGTCTCCGTGCGCTCTTCCTTGCCATGGAGCTGGGACGGAGCACGGGAGGGAGGGGCTGATGTGGTGGTTGCACCAACTGAGCTCTCGCGAGCTGGGGCAATGGCGAGCGCTGTGGACACAGGCTAGCGAGGGTGCCCAAAGAGCACCTGGAAAGCCAACTTCTCCCTGGCAGAGCGCACAGTCCTGGCAGCGGCTGAGGGGCTGCATCGCCTCGCGTCTAGCCGCTAATGCTCTGCACTTCATGGACCAGAGCCCCAGCAGGTGTGAATCAGGAGAGCCCCCATCCAATCAATGAGCCAAGCCCTGTTTACCCCAGCGAGGGTCTGGCCCATAGTGTCTCTCTCGCCCAAGGATCTCAAAGCGTTTTACAGCTGTGAATTCTCACATCTCCCAGGCAGCTGGTATTATCCTCAGACGTACAGCTGAGGTGCGGTGCAGTATGAGTGGTGGCAGCGGTGGGCTTGCCAGACCCACTGCCCCCTGCTCTGACCACCAGTCCATGCTCCCTCCCTGGTGGAACGTCTCCTGGGTGGGCCAGCAGGATCCACTCTCTAACAATGCAGTACCTCTGGAGTAGGCCTTGCCCTGGCTATACCACCCCTCAGTGCTGTCAATCCTTCTCAACTAACTCCTTCCATGCCCCACGTGTCGTGGAGTGTGGGGTTCCCCCCCAAGGGTGCCTCATTCCCAGCACTGAGGGCAGATCCCCTCCCTCTGGCGGTGTACTGAGAAGAGCCCCTGACTGCAGGAGGGGAGGGATGGGCTGATGTGGAGGAGCCAGGGGAGGGGTCGCCCCCAGCCTGAGAGTCCCTGAGCTCCCGCGTCAGTGACTGCAAGTTGCTCAGCTGCCACAGGGAACAAAGCCGTGTTCAGCAGGTTACCTCAAGGGCAGGAGCTGCTGCAGGAGAGGCCGCCAGACGCCTCTGCAGTTACACGGGCGAGGACTGAACAGCGCTGCCCAAGGGCTCGCCATCCTTGGGAGAGGGATGGGCCATCACGGTCAGCGTGAGATTGACTCACGAGCTTCTGTCCCTCCCCCCCCAGAAACCTCCAGAAATGTGAGGTTGGCTTAAATGGCAGGAGATTTAAACGAAATCCTTATGTTTGATGGGGGGAGTTGGGCGGGGGAGGGGTTGTCATTTGAACTCTCCCTGCTCACCCCCTCTGCGTGCACATGGGGTGGGGTGATTTACAGGTTGCAAATGCAGCCTCCAGCGCATGCCAGTGTGGGCCTGGGGTCCCTGGACAACGCCCCAGCTCCATCCCGCTGCCCTGTGCAGGCTCCAGCAGCTGCCCCTGCCACAACCGGGAAGGGGCTGCCTTGAGCTGCCGCCTCCATTAACTTCCTGCACCAGGGTGGAGGCCCCTGCTGCAAGCTCAGGGTGGGCTGGGTGTGGGGGCAGCTCAGGACACCCGGTACTGCTGCTGCCTGCAGTGTGTAGCACAGCAGCCTCTAGTGGCCCAAAGGGGGAAGTGCAGGCAGGCAAAATTGTCATTGTTAATGAGATCCTGCAGGCTTGGGGCAAGTGGCTGCTCCTCCCGTGTCTAGACCGCTGCCTCCCTACAGCTGGCAGCATTAACTACTCCCAGAGGTGACACCAGAAGAGAGGGGCCTCTGTCCCGGTGCCTGGATCATCCTGCCCTGGGGGTGCTGCAGTCAGACTTGGCGTGGAAGTCACAGCAATGAGGCAGCTTCCTGCTGACTGTCAGATTTTGGCTAGTGGGAAGGGAAATGAGTGGGGAAGGCATTGGCCAGGACCCTGCTAGCAGTGTGGTTTGCCCAGGAAGCCAGGCAGGCTGGTGTCTAGTTCCTCCACTCCATCCGGGGCCCATCCTCTAGTGTTCCAGCACCTCTCGCTGTATCCTTTTGGCATGTGACTCGACCCTAGTGTGGTGCTGGATCCCAGAGAGGAATCTGCTAACTCCCTTCCTTTGCCCTCCTTCCAGACCCTTTGCCTCGCCGGCCGGAGGCTAGAGGCGGATGGAATTCAGTTTCTCGTCTCTCCTCGCTCTTTTTGTTTTGTTTTCCCTCTTGATTTCAGTGCCAGTAGCCAATTCATTTCCTCTGAAGTCCAATCTAGTTCCTTTCCTGCAGGCTACAGCTGTGCAGAGAGCACCCACTCCCCCCCCCCCCGTCCCATTCTTTAGTGTAAACCTAGCCACAGGTGTCTGTGGATCCAGGTGACACAGTAATAAAACCTTCTGCTCCCTGGACGCACAAGCCTTTTCACCGGTGCTGGATCGATGATGGGAGGCACTTCTGGAATTTCTCAGTGAGAACAGGGCTAGGGTTAGTTAAGGACTGTGTTGGGAGAGAGATGTTGCCCTCTAGTGACTGGCCCGGAGAGGGGATCTGCTGGTAGCTTGGGGAGCTCTTAAATCAAGTGGTAGAAGTCTGAGTGTTTGGAGCTAAGGAGCCAGGCTCCAGTCTGGTTCCCCTCTGGGTGCATATGAGAACAAGTGTGTTTGCAGCACGTGGGTTGGTTACAGGAGGGCTTTGCCGCCACCCCCGCTCCCATGCTGTTTTGCACAGCCAGGCTGCACCAGAAATGCCAGGAGTCTCTCTGAGATTCCAAGGCTGGTCCCAAGATCTTCTTTACCTTCCCCTCCCTCCCCCCATGCTTAGTTAATCAGTATTCAAGAACCGTACCCCAGTGGCACTGTGAATAGACACAGCTGCTAAAAGAGTCCAGAGCTGCCAGACACAAGCCAGAATGAAGCTGTACAACCAGCCCCCCGGAGAATGGGCCTGAGCTCTGCTTCTCTGGCGTGAGCTTGCTCTGCTCTGAAACAATTGGATCTGGCCTTCTCTCAGGTAGCGGGTTCCAATCTCTTGTGGAAAGGAGTTCTGCAGGG